GTTTTGTATCTACATGTTTTCTTCTTACTAAGATATTGGTTTTTAGTACAAGATACCCTCTGCCATATAAACGTTTACTTGTAAAGTTTTTACTACATGATATGGAATTACTTAGTGGTCACTGTTGAATAAGTCAGTAAATTGAGAGGCAGTCAACATTACTTTAAAAGCTTATCCAATCGTATTCTTTCTTGGTTTCCACAGGACTTCGTTTAGATTCTTTCGATTGCTAGCTCCTCTTTTAACAGGCGGTAAAATAAACTTTTTGATAACGACGCTCTTACTGGCTAGGTAACCACATTCTGGTCCCAGTGAAAATCGAAAAGATCCTAGGTTTTATAATGTTTTTAAGATTAACGAGGATATCCGCATGTCCGCATTTATAAGGCTCAAACATTCATTTGACACATCTTATAATGAGCTTTATGTAAGTACATGGAGTGTACAGATTTGGTTCTGTGGGATCCTAATATTCACTGTATACAAGAACATCAGTTAAGCCACGTATTCCAAACATTTATGTCGATCTAATAGATTTAACACGGTAAGAGATATCTACGATCTAATAGATTTAACAAGGTAAGAGATATCTAAGATTTGTTGTCATAGTATCTCTCTCTGTACAATGTTTTCTTATGGTATAAGATGCTTAATGAAGTGGAAGGCTTAGCAAAGAAGACTTTGAGGACAAAAAACATTTTAATACACTTCGTTTATCTTTGCTTTTTTTGGGATCAAATATCAAATAGGCCAAACTAGAAAAAAAAACAACCAAAAATCAAAAACGGAAAACTAATAACTCTCACCGTCTCAATGAAGTTTATTAGAACACCACTTGCTATGAGTATGGTACTTGCGTCATTGTAAGGGGCTGGAATATAACGAACATTCAGACCAGTAGTGGTTCTTAGAAACGAAAATTGGTTTTCAAAGTTGGCTCACTTCCAAAACGCACTGACTATACGCCCAAACAGTACTACTATTGATATATCTGTTATACTAGACTTCGGGTTAAATTCACATTGTTTTTATAAAGCCTATTAAATAAGGCAGTCAGAAATGTGAAATTGAACGTCATAGATCGTCAGGCTGAACATTTTTACGTCAATTCATTATCTTCTCTGGTAATTCTGCAATTGTATTTTTCACAGGCAAATTAAGAGGTACTGAGTGTGACGTCATGGCGGTTTCAATTACTGTTATAACCTATTTCCGGCATGTAATGGACTAATAGTGTCATTCTTATTACTGCTAAATTAGCGTAATCTCTGGTATGTGGGCTTATACTAACATCGTCACATAGTTTAAAGATTCTCAAAAAACTTATTCGGAGATAGTTTTTCCCCTAAGTGTTGTTAGGAGTATTTCATATGGATGTTTTTCATCTCAACGTGACTTTCTATCAAGTTTATTCATTGCGTGTGGATATATATATATATATATATATATATTATTTTATAACAGTTTACTTTATATTTCACTGATAGCTTACTTACGTACAGAAGTTGGTAAGTGATTTTGTTATATCTCACCGCCTCTTGGGCCTTTGTTTCTTTAGTCTAGATGAAAGAAACGAACGTCACCCCCCTCACTTAGACCATGAGGCAGTGATAATTTAAATAGAAGAATAATATCTAGCGTGGGAGTGTTATTTACCAAAAGATTCTTTACTACAAACAACTCGAGGGTTAATCTTATAGCCCAACTGGTAGAGCATTTGTGTTTGGTTCCGTTTAGGGGAGATGCAAAAGTTAAGTAAAACTCACGTAGAGAAATGTCTTGTGATGAGCATTAACTCTCACAGTGTCTCTGGTTAGAGAAATATAGTGTGAAAAAGAGACCAT